GGTTGGCATAGATCGAGATAAGGATTTGTCACTCTGAGTATCGAAGAGGTATCTCTGGGCCCTCTCGGTAATACACATCATAAGCTTGCAAGCAAATGACTAAGGAGTTGGTCACTAGGTGATCTATTATGGAACGAGTAAAGAGACTTGCTGGTAACGAGATTAAACTAGGTATGAAGATACTAACAATCGAATCTCGGGCAAGTAATATACCGATGGATAAAGGAATTACGAATCTTGTCATAACGGTTCGACTGATAAAGATCTTCATAGAATATATAGGAGCCAATATGGGCATCCAGGTTCCGCTATTGGATATTGACCGGAGAGGTGTCTCGGTCATGTCTACATAGTTCTCGAACCCGTAGGGTCCGCACGCTTAAAGTTTGATGTCGATTTGGTTTTATATGAGTTATGTGGTTTGGTGACCGAATGTTGTTCGGAGTCTTGGATGAGATCACGGACATTACGAGGAGCTCCGAAATGGTCTAGAGGTAAGGATTGATGTTGGGAAACGTTGCATGGAAAACAAAAAGAATCTACGCACACGCAATGATCTATCATTGGAGATGCATAGCAACGAGGGGGAGAGTGTGTCTATGTACCCTCGTAGACCGGAAGCGGAAGTGTTTGACAACACGGTTGATGTAGTCGAACTTCTTCTAGCTCCGACCGATCAAGTACCGAATGCACGGAACCTCTAAGTTCTGCACACGTTCAGCCCGGTGACATCCCTCGCCTTCTTGATCTAGGAAGGTGTCGAGGTCATAGATGAATTCCGTCAGCACAATGGCATGGTGATGATGATGGTGAAGTGATCCACATAGGGCTTCGCCTAAGCACCACAAGAATATGACCGGGGGTGTAAACTGTGGAGGGGGGCGCCGCGCACGGCTAACAATTGATGTTGTGTGCTCTAGGAGCCCCCTCCCCTCATATATATAGGTGGGAGGAGAGGAGAGGCAGCCAGGTGCGCTCCAAGTAGGATCCGAATCCTACTTGGGGTTTCCCCAAGTGGCGCCCCTTTCTTACTTTACCGGAGAAGAAAGGGAAGGGGGAAGAGAGAAAGGAAGGGGGGCAGAACCCCCATTTTTCCTTCTCCTATTCATCTAAATACCATAGGGGGCGCGCCACTCTTTGTGGGCTGGCGTGTTCCCCTCTCATGGCCCATATGGCCCATATATCCCCCCCGGGTGTTCCGGTAACCCCCCAGTACTCTGATAAATACCCGATACTTTCCAGAACACTTCCGGTGTCCGAATACTATGATCCTATATATCAATCTTGAGACTCCTCGTCATGTTTGTGGTGTCATCTGGGACTCCGACCAACATTCGGTCACCAAATCACATAACTCATATAATACAATATCGCTATCGAACGTTAAGCGTGCGGACCCAACGGGTTCGAGAACTATGTAGACATGACCAAGACACCTCTTCGGTCAATAACCAATAGAAACCTATATGCTCATATTGTTTCTTACATATTATATGAAGATTTTTATCAGTCGAACCATTATGACAACATACATTATTCCCTTTGTGTATCGGTATGTTACTTGCCCGAGATTCGATCGTCGGTATCTGCATACCTAGTTCAATCTTGTAACCGGAAAGTCTCTTTAATCCTTCCATAATACATCACCTCGTGACTAACTCCTTAGTCAATTGCTTGCAAGCTTATGATGTGTATTACCGAGAGGGCCCGGAGATACCTCTCCGATACTCGGAGTGACAAATCCTAATCTCGATCTATGCCAAGTCAACAAACACCTTCAGATATACCTGTAGAGCATCTTTATAATCACCCAGTTATGTTGTGACATTTGATAGCACATAAGGCATTCTTCCGGCATCCGGGGGTTGTATAATATCATAGTCGAAGGAATATGTATTTCACATGAAGAAAGCAATAACAATAAGACTGAACGATCGTAATGCTAAGCTAACGGATGGGTCTTGTCCATCACATCATTCTCCTAATGATGTGATCCCGTTATCAAATGGCAACTCATGTCTATGGTTAGGAAACCTTAACCATCTTTGATCAACGAGCTAGTCTAGTAGAAGCTCACTAGGGACACGGTGTTTGTTTATGTATTCACACATACATTAAGGTTTTCGATCAATACAATTCTAGCATGAATAATAAACCTTTATCATGAATAAAGAAATATAAAATAACGACTTTATTATTGACTCTAGGGCATATTTCCTTCAATTGATATATAGGACGATGTTATTTGGTCTTTGGAATGGTTTTGGAGTGCACCGGAAAGTTATCGAAATACCAGAAGAGGTCCCGGAGGCACCAGGAGAGTATTGGGCCTTATTGGGCCATGTAGAGGGAACACACCAGCCCACATGGGCTAGTGCGGCCCCCTTAAGGCATCCAGACCCAATTAGATGGAAAGGGGAGGTGCCACCTCCTCCTATCATATCTTCGGAAGGGAGAAAGGAAAGAGAAGGGGCGCCTCCCCCCTTTCCTTCTCCCTTGTGCGTTATATGGAAGGGGGAGCACCGCTAGGGAAACCCTAGGGTGGCTGCTAGCCCTATTGGAGGCGCCCTAGGGCTGCCTCCTCCCCTCCCACACCTATATATATGTGGGGAGGGGTGCCACACAATACACAACTTATTCCACGCCGTGTGTCGGCACCCCTCCGCCTCTACTTTACTCCTTCGTTCTAGATCATCGCAATGCTTAGGCGAAGCCCTGTGGAATTGCTTCACCACCACCATCACCACGCCATTATGCTGACGGAACTCATCCACTACCTCGCCCCACTTTCTGGATTAAGATGGCGAGGATGACACCGAGTTGAACGTGTGCAGAGAGCGGAGGTGCCGTGCGTTCGGCACTTGATCGGTTGGAGCGCGAAGAAGTTTGACTACATCAACCACGTTGTTAAACGCTTCCGCTTACGGTCTACGATGGTACATAGACACACTTCCCTCATTGCTAGATAGATCATTGCGTGTGCATAGATTTTTTTTGTTTTTATATGCAACGATTTCCAACATCACTAGCATCATAGACAATTTCAAAGGGTAGGTTCCAAACAGGTGGTTGAACAATAGGTGCAGAAATTAAGGCTTTCTTAAGAATTTTAAATGCTTCTACACAATCATCATCAAAAACAAATGGAACATATTTTTGCGAAAGATTAGTGAGAGGCTTAGAAATTTTAGGAAAGTCTTTGATAAAAGCAAGTGTCTCCTTATTACAAGGGGGAAACTGCATCCTCCTACTGGTTTGTGGACATCTCGGTCCCACACCATTGTCAACGTAGTCAATAGATGAGAGAATTGCACAAGGGGCGGATAACACCAGGGACCCCAACCGTTCGCGCAGTTTTTGTTTTGTTCTTTAGACGAAGCGGGGTATCAACTGGGTTGTGCGGGGCTGTAGCCCGTCTAGCCCAGGCTTTTAATTTATGCTTACCACAAGAACAACCCAGTTATTTTTTTCTATCTGAAAATGGCTATCCCAGTTCTTTTTTTTGGCAGAAAATCCAACCGTGTCCTACTTGCTTTTCTCTGCCCTGCAGGGCTGCAAATCTTCCAAGACGAAGAGGGATGCATTCTGCATGTAGCGGTGGGGCGTGGCATGGAGCTCATGTTACGGGGCGCCCGTCGCAACCCCATTTTCGCTAGCGCCCATGATCTGGCGAGGGTGACGGAGGCGGGGCAGGACCACGTAGGGCTGGTGGGGGCATGACATGGTCGCTGGTGGTCCCGTTGTAAGCGTTGTATGAGCCGCCTGCTGAGCCGTGTGACAGAGGCACTTCTCTTCCATTCGAACATAGGTGACGGCCTTGGCGAACGTCGGCGTGATGAGGGAGAGGTTGGAGACGGCCTGTCCGAGGTTGGGGTGGATACCACGAAGGAGGTTGGTGAGGGGGGCAAAGTCTTCAGTAGCCATGCCCATGCCGCAAAGTTCATCGACGAGCACCTTAAGCTGCATGCAATACTCATCGATCATGAGATCGTTTTGATGCAGCATGAAGAACTCGCCTTGGAGGAAGATGCAGCGCTGTAGCTGGTTGTCGAGGAAGAGGTCACGCAGCCATGTCCAGATGACGTGCGCGGTGAGATCGCGAATGTTCACCATGTCAAAGAGACAACTCGAGATAGTGAGGAACATCCAATTGATGTTTGACAATGGTGGCGTCGACAGCGATCCACTTCTCGTCGTCCTTCATGTCGCAGATGTTGACGCTCACGTCAACATGGTCGATGAGGCGGTGGGAGTGAAAGAGAAAGGTGAAGTAGGTACGCCGGGCATTGTAGGAGGGCGAGTTGAGGTCGAGTACCATCGGGACATGATCCTTGGTAGGTAGGTCAAGGAGACGGGCGGAGAAGAAGGATAGTGCAGCAAAGGAGCTCTAATCGGAGAGGGAGGGTCGTGAGCTGACCATGATGATATGAGAGCTGGATAGTGTGGCGGTGGAGGCTTGAGGCGAGGCAGAAGAGGTGGCACCTGCGGCTTGAGGTGGGAGAGAGGGGCGGCACGGCAGCTTTGAAGGGAAACGGCGGCGCGGCAGCTTTGAAGGAAACGGTGACGGCGGCCTAGGGCAGACGGGTAGGTGGCGGCCTAGGTCGGAAGCGAGAAGATTGCATAAAAAAGTGATACCATGTAAGAAAGGTAAGCCCACCAGCCAATTCATCAAAAAACTCAAGCTCTTTTTTAGAGAATATCAAAAAACTCAAGTTGATAAGAAAAGATGACCTACGCATTTATACGTCAACAATTATGTAAAAGGGGGACCTATTTTCTTCCTATCTCCACGCAAAACCTTTTTTATGAGAGTGCGAGCGCTACTCGAAAAACAGCCTTGTCTGATCGCTCACTACTGATAAACAAGACAAAACATGTTAATTGTTAGTACTACCACTTACCACCGGCGGGCAGTCTGAAGCACGAGCCCTAAACAGTAAACACACTTTATTTGCACTCCAGACATGACGTTCACAAAACTGTCTTGTCTATATATGGGGCTAAACAACAGGCGGTTCGATCCCTACAGCTGTCACCTTGCCGTTACACGTCCGCTGTGGCGAGAGGTCGCAACGGCAGATAGGGCAAGTGGTGTGTGAGTGTAGCCACATGTCAATGCACCCGACATGGAAGAGGTGCTTGCACGTCGGCAGCTGCCGCACCATCTCGCCGTCGCCGATATCTTCCAGGCACACGGAGCAAGTCTGGGGTTGGGCGCCCCCGCACTCGAGGTCGCCACCGGCCACGGGGCGACGGGATGCGTACGCGAAAGTTGGCAGCGACTCGATCCCGGCCTTCCCGAGCCCGCCGAGTCGGGATGCTGCCCAAGCCACGCCCTCGGCGGCGGCGCCAGCGCCGCCCCTCCGCCCGTCGCGCCAGCTCTCGGGCGCGAGGCACTCGAGGGCGATCAAGGCGGCCAGCGCCAGGCCTGTGAACGCGAACGCCTTCCAGGCGCTGACGGTGGCGACGAGGACGCAGAACACGAGCGCCGACACGAGGGACACCACGACGCCCTGTGAGCAGGACCCTCCCCCGCCGTTCAGAGCAGGCATGCTCACTCACTAACGTTTGCTTGTATGTGTAGCTGCTTCACAAGCTGTCTTGTTTGCTGTGGCAGTGAGGTGTTCCGCCCGGGCGGCAGGAAATATATATAGTCGATCCGCGCGTGAGAGCTCTAGAAGTAGAGCGCGGCAGCCGCCCACCCGTAGCTGCGTGGCGGCGGAAATAGGATTAATCTTTGAATTATGGTCAAGTTTCAGGCGCCGACCATACATTAGCAATTGCTAGCTTATAGCATGGTAAACGATACTGCACGGTTTTTTTTAAGCCGAAACCGTTGAACTGTTCTACGGTACTTTTCCATTAATTAAGTCCAAGAATACAAAATATTTACAAAGAAAAGAAAAATAAAACGCTAAGAACTACTTATCCAATTCCTGGCCTCGGGAACATGATAACGTTATGAAAAATCTAATTTATCCTCTACAAACATCATAGATCACTGCTGGAATTTTCACGTACGCCGGGTGTAATACTCTTCGCCGAGTGCTAAAATATGGACACTCGGCAAAGCAAACTTTGCCGAGTGTCACTCTCGGCAAACCCAGCTTCATGGCAAACTGTCATCTTTGCCGTCACTGCCTCACGGCAAAGAGGCACCGCACAGCAAACCCTGTAGACGCCAAGAGCCGCTCACGGCAACGAGGAGGCACGCGGCATGCCCGTACGCAACAGACGGCTCCGTTAGTTACTGCGTACATTACCGAGAGCCGCCATACTACACTCGGCAAAGTATATGCCACATCCTATTTTCTTTCTTTGTGTGTGTTCTTTCTAACTGACATGTGGTCCCACTGGTCACATTTATCAGTAAAAGTTTTAAATAACTTGGTAAATATTTTTGAAAAAGAATGATGATATCTTTGCGGAGAGCGGCTCTCGGCAATACTCCTGACCAGTAGGACGGCGTGGCCCACATGGAAGCTGACCGTTTACATATCTTTGTCGAGAGCTAGTCTCGGCAATGCTCGCCTCCTTTTCCAAGAGCTGCTTTCGAAAAATTTGTGGCACAACAGTAGTGTGTCCCAGACGACCAGTTTCCGAGAGGGGCTCTCGGTAGTATATCGTTTTTCGAGTGTTGCTCTCGGAAATCTTTTTGATCCATTTCGATGTTAAGCTATTTCTTTTCTGATCCCTGCAGATAAAAACAATTACATTGCAATTTGATCATATATAGGCATAATTTGATCTAGTCCACACATATATAGGCATAATTTGATCATATATAGGCATAATTTGATCTAGTCCACATATATATGCATAATTAGGGATAGTCCACATATTTTCACACACAAGTCGAATGTATTATCCTAGTAGACGTCACACACAAGTCGTAAGTTCATACATATTGTCACTACTTGCAAAACATGTGCACGTCACAATAGAAGTACACTTGTTCATATAGATCATCTTGAGGAGGAGAGGCCATCGGGTTAACATTCCGGAGGAGGAGGAGGGGCATCACTTGCACTGCTTTGAGATTGCATAAGAACCTACTCCCTCCGTTCTGAATTACTTGTCACATGTATGGATGTATCTAGATGTATTTTAGTTCTAGATACATCCATTTATGCGACGAGTAATTTGGAACGGAGGGAGTATAAGAGTAGAGTCACGTGAGGGTGGTTCGTCCCTATGTAATGAATCTTCTACTATAGTTTAGATAATGTTCTACCTGTAGTTGATCCTCGAGCAGCTTCAACCTCTTGTTCGTGTCTGCCCGTTCCTTTTCTCTGGACTCCTGCTCAGCATTCCGTCTTTGCTCCTCTTGAACAGCCCGCTGCGCCATTAAATCCTGTAACATGGCATTAGGCTCATATAGGTTGGAACGGTGCTATTTCGAGGCATGGACATAAATGAAAGGTTAGGATGCTAACCCTGAGACGCGCTATCTCACATGATCCGGCGGTTGGGCGACTCCGTATGGACGGAATTGAGCTGGTGCTCGACGCGCGTATCTCGTGCGGCTTGCGATGCGAGGAGGTCGAGATCGCCCCATCGCAAAGGAGGTGGCGGCCATGGCTCTTCCCCTAGCCAGCAATGATGAGAAGCTCAGGATCAAGGGGCTTGGATGTCGGTTTGGCTTCCTGCCCGTGCACCTCCTGGAAGACCTCTTTGACGGTTCCCCACTTCTCCTCCACTGACTCGCTGCAGAACTCGGCGCCATTCTTCCCCTTGTGGCCTTCTTTCCAGGCTTCCAGTATGTGGACCGGGCGACCAACCTTCGCCTCCTGCAAAATTAACCATCAAGTTTAAAGAACCAAGATACACCGTGTGAAAAAGTTAACATCTTAATTCACATACCATGTGTTGCTTGAGAGCGGTTAGGTTCTGGCTCCCCTGGACATGAGCCGGGCCTGTCATTTTGGCTCGATCGTTTCCCTTCTCCACATGTTGCGCCTGCCATGTTGGGTCACACCACATGTCAACCAGGGCCTCCCAACAATCGTCCTTCATCCAGGGTTCCTTCACCTAGTCAGACAAAATCGAGTAATTGAGGAACAATAGGGATGAATCAAAGTACTAGCAACCGATGTTGTCACTTACCACTGACAGGTATTCTTCTCGCGACATGTTGGTCTGGCAAGCAGTCTTCCTTCTCATCTTCTCTCCCTTCTCATCGAGTGGCCGGCACTTCATCACGGCTTTGTACCGCAGCGTGTGCTTGAGGCAGAGAGTATCTTTCGGGCAGATTTCACGATGCCTTTGATCGCCTTCTGCTGCTCACCATCCACACAAGCAAATGTTTCCTACAAGAAAGCATATGCCATCTTCTCACCATCCACGCAACCAAGGATTTGGATATGAAAAAATGCAGTGGTTGGAGCGAAGATACTTACAAAAAAAGGCATTGATGACCCGACTGGCCATGGTGTCATCGTGCTCATCCTTGTTGTGTAGGTAATGCTCCTAGGTTAAACCTGGTGACGACGGATCATCATCACCCGGCTTGGACAATCCAGGGAAGTGCTTCCTCAAGAGGGAGCCGATGACGTGGTTCGGCGGGCGTGCCCCTTAGGTTGTGTCGGGATAAAGGCCCACTAACTGCAAGATATAAAAGACAAGCATATGTGAGTGTCAAAGTTGTGGCATCCAAAATATGATGCAAATGAAATGCTTGCTGAGGGAGTCCTGGATTAGGGGGTCTCCGGACAGCCGGACTATATCTTTTGGCTGGACTGTTGGACTATGAAGATACAAGATTGAAGACTTCGTTCCGTGTCCGGATGGGACTCTACTTGGCGTGGAAGGCAAGCTAGGAAATACGGATATGTATATCTCCTCCTTTGTAACCAACCTTGTGTAACCCTAGCCCCCTCCGGTGGCTATATAAACCAGAGGATTTTAGTCCGTAGGACAACATACAATCATACCATAGGCTAGCTTCTAGGGTTTAGCCTCTCTGATCTCGTGGTGGATCAACTCTTGTACTACTCATATTATCAAGAACAATCAAGCAGGAAGTAGGGTATTACCTCCATCAAGAGGGCCCGAACATGGGTAAACATCGTGTCCCCTGCCTCCTGTTACCATCCGCCTTAGACGCACAGTTCGGGACCCCCTACCCGAGATCCGCCGGTTTTGACACCGACATTGGTGCTTTCATTGAGAGTTCCACTGTGTAGTCACCGTAAGGCTTGATGGCTCCTTCGATCATCGCTAGCGATGCGGTCCAGGATGAGGTTTTCCTCCTCGGACAGATCTTCGTATTCGGCGGCTTCGCACTGTGGGCCAATTTGCTTGGCCATCTGGAGCAGATCAAGAGCTACGCCCCTGGCCATCAGGTCAAATTTGGAAACTTGAACTACACGGCCGACATCCGCGGAGACTTGATCTTCGATGGATTCGAGCCCGTGTTGGACGCGCCGCACAGTCGTGACGAGCATGACGTAGCTCTGCCGTCGGACAATGTTCGGGAGATCACATCCGCAACTACTCCGGCCTTTAATCCAGAGCAAGTCGCGCCATCCGAGAGCGGAGGTATTGACCCTACCATGGAGGCCGCACTCTCAGTGGCGATAGAGCCGGATACTGACTTCACCCCTCACGAGAGCCGTGACGCCGAACCACTTGACTCATCTCCAGTCACGGACTCCGAGCCGCTCACATCCGTACCCGTCGAGTCCGACTGGGCACCGATCATGGAGTTCACCTCTGCGCAGATATCTTTCAGCACTCACCTTTCGGAGATGTGCTAAATTCATTAAGGTCTCTCTCCCTGTCAGGAGAACCTTGGCCGAACTATGTCCGGCTAGAATGGGATGCAGACGACGAAGAAATTCGCTGCCCACCCACCACCCACTTAGTAGCCACTGTCGACGACTTAACCGACATGCTCGACTTCGACTCCGAAGACTTCGACGGTATGGGCGACGAAGCCGGAGACGAACAGGAACCACCGCCCCAAGGGCGCTGGACCGCCACCTCATCATATGATATATACATGGTGGACACCCCTAAAGAAGCAATGGCGACAAGACAGCAGAGGATGACCCCTCTAGGAAGCAACCCAAGCGCCGACGTCAGCGGCGCCGCTCTAAGTCCCGCCACAGCAAGAGCAGTGATACCGGCACAGGAGATAATAACACTCCGGATAGCGCCGAAGACAACAACAATCTCCTCCAGCACGATGTAGAGCCGGAGGACGAACAAGCTAGCCCCCCAGAGCGGGCAGCAGATGGAGAACCAGAGGAGGACAATTACATGTCTCTCTCCGAAGACGAGGCGAGCCTCGGCGACGACGAGTTTATCGTGCCTGAGGACCCCGTCGAACAAGAGCGCTTCAAGCGCCGGCTTATGGCCACGACAAATAGCCTGAAGAAAAAGAAGCAACAACTTCAAGCTGACCAAGACTTGCTAGCAGACAAGTGGACCGAAGTCCTTGCGGCCGAGGAGCATGAACTCGAGCGCCCGTCCAAAAGTTACCCAAAACGCAGGTTGCTACCTCACCTCGAGGAGGAAGCATTGAAACCTCATTCACTAGTGTACAATG